AATAACACATATTGTGTGTAGCTCAATAAAGTAGCAATGTGAAATAATTGCCTATTATGTTGCTTTGACTGATTTTGACAACAGCAGATTTTGGCTGTGGATGGATTTAATTTTTGGGCTTAAATTTAGATTACTGCTTAATTTTACATTTCACAGTCGGTCTTGTAATATTGTGACTTTGAAAGAAGGAAAATGTAATCTGCTTTTTCGATTCATCAAAAACGACTTAATTTCAGTACCAAAAGACTCCCCCCCCCCCACACACACCCCTACACTTCCTCGCGCCACTGCGCGAGAACATTAACTTCTTTAGGGGGTTCCGAGCCAACTATATAATCGCAGGGGCTCCTAAGTTTGTGTAGCTAATCACATACAATTAGAGCAGATATTTTGTCAATATGATTTTAAAGACTGTGTCACTTTTTAAAAGTTTTCACACTACTATTTCATTCTTTGCAGTTTTTTTTTGTTTTTTTTGATTAAAACATTTTTTTTAAAATTCTGATATTTAAAAAAATCATCTTACCGGTAAAAATTGCCAAAAAGGCCAAGATTGAAAGGAAAATTCCTTTCTCTCTTATCATTATGTTATCCTATATTACAATTATTGGTAAACATGAAGACAATAATATATATAAAACATCTACTTATTGTCCAGGATATGATATAAATGTTTCTAGATGATAACTTCTGAATGTTTTAATATATTTCTTATCTTATAAACTGTACAGCGAGGTACGAACAAAGTCGATAGATATCTTAACTGATATCTATAAAGATAGGTATATAGATAATGGAATGTATATTTCATCAACACGTAGTCCTACGTACATTTAAATGAAAGTAATCATCTACCCCATATATGTCAACAAATCAGTGGATGATTTTTGTTTTTTAATAGTTTCATAACACAGTGAAATCAACTGGACACTGCCCACCATTCAAATATATCGAATCTTCTTAAGTCAAAAAGAGGGGTAACCTGACTGATAAAATATAGTCTCCATACCTTTTTTTTGAAAGATTTCAATAAAAACGTGTTTAGAATACTTATTGTTCTCGGAAGGTACTGACTTTGAAATAAAATTAATTGGCTTTATATACATGTACTTATTTTAGGAAGTGAACCTTGATTTTAATCCTTAAATTAATCTAATTGAGCCAAGTGTATGAAATTTGCTTGTTTATAGTGTCTAAAGAAAAAAAGTTCAGCAGACTGTGCGCAAAAGGCCAGGAGCAGTGCACGATTTATGAAAGATATCTACGCTAAGCGTTGAAATTCGCCCACACTGCGGGTATGTCTCTATTGTATTCGAGAGGGAGGGGCTTAACGCTAACCCGCACTCGACACAAACTGGTCACTTGTGCGAGGGGTTCAGGCCACCCCCTCCTTGTGGCATACGGACCTTATGATCAAGAGCGCACGCGTTAGACCACTCGCCCCACTACTCTTTTAATGGACCTTTTCTTTTATTTATTAGATAACAGATCTATCACTGTTAAGTACGACCTAGTACGAACTGTATTTACAATGTATAATATTGATTAGCATTACTTTATCATGACGTGATTAAAAAATATCACCAAAGTCTATCACTTCATTAGCAAATCAGTTAATCTGTTCAATGGTGTTGGTAACATAGCAATATACTTTTTAAAAAAAAGAGGGGGTTGGGTACAAGGAATGCACAAAGTACTAAAATTTAATCCGAATGTAATGTGTTTAGCGTACTCATGTATGGAAATGTAATGAATTTAACGTACTACTTGGAAATGTAATGCGTTTAACATACTACTGTATGGAAATGTAATGCGTTTAACGTACCTCTACACTGAAATTGGTTGCGAAATTGGGACACGATTCCCACAGTTTGTTGTAAGAGGGTTTGCCCCAAGCGTTGTACTACATCAGGTACAAGTGGAGGTTGTGGGCATAACAAAGGTCAGTTCAGGGGCCCATAAATGAAAGGCTTCGTTCTCCATTTACGACGCAGACTATTGAAACACTATAAGTGGATTCTAAAGCTCACATTTTATTTGTTATGGGGTCACCATTTCGTCCATGGGCTCATCAACTAACATTATATGAACGCAGAACGAACAAAATAAAATGACAAAGTGAGTGACAAAACTACACCTTGACACTCGAAATCAAATCACAAGGTTTGTCATTCGGACAAGTAGCGTGGTCTCGATTCTCCGGGGGAGGGGGTGGGGGTGGATGGCCGAATGGTTAGCAAGCGCGCGCTGTATCATACGGTCTGTCATTGAGTCAACTGGCGGGGTTTCGATTCCCCGGTTGTACGTGACAAGGAGTAGGGTCGCCAGTCCAACCTCGTGGGTTTTCTCCGGGTCCTCCGGTTTCCTCCCACTGCTAAAGACCCTACGCGCAAGCGAATTATTGAAATAAAATTGAACCATATGTTAGTCCCGAAATGACCTAGTTTGTGTCGAGTGGGCGTTAAACCCATCTCTCTCTCTCTCTCTCTCTCGATTCTCCGCTTGGACGTGACAATGAGTATGTTATCTGTTTAACTTCGTGAGTTTTCTCCCTGTCCTCCGGTTTCCTCCCACTGCTAAAGACCCCTGCGCTCAAGCGAATTATTGAAATAATCCCAAAATGACCTAGTTTGTGTAGCATTTCTCTCTTACACACACCTTACCACGTACAAGCTTGGAATCGACCACGCCACTCGGTTCAGTAGTAATTGCGGACCGAGCTACACGCACAACATAACCGATAAGACCTCATGATGGATATTCGAATTAAAAAGCGTTTTCGGATCTTCGATATCCACTGTTCCGCGGCAAAGTTGACCCCCTGTTGATTTTCAGTAAATATTATTTTCAGAGATACATTATGTTTCCGAACAAACAAATGAACACGATAGAGATTTTTTGAAGGGTGTTAGATCCTTATTCAATTTATTCAACATCCAAGTTTTCCTTTCGGATAATTTGCAGTTGAGACAAAGATTCTGTGTGGGCGTAATTCCACACTTTGCGACGCTTTGCGTGGCTATCTTTGGTCATGAGCGAAGGATCACTATTGATTTTCGACGTTCGTGGTATTTGTCCTTTTGAACGGATAGAAGCTCGATTTTTGGAAGGATTGTTGCAAGTAGATAATGGACCTTATTGATTTGCAACGTTCCCTGACTTTTCATTATGGCTGTATCCCTCTTTCCCTGTAAACCTTGCGAACGCGATAAAGCACAGAGTTTTTCATGATTATTGTTTTAAAATCTGCTGCAAAGCATTTGGAACACTAGACAATAAACCCTGTGTCTAGCTTTATTCTAAAAGAAATATGATCTAAAAAGCATGCACAAAATGACACTTTCAATAAAACGTCACCAACATATAAATTAAAATTCAAAGCTTCACATATTCAAAGCTATTACTAATGCGGTAGGGGTTTATTTTCAACTTTGGTGCGAAGCATTGGGTCCAAAAGACGACTAACCCTATCGATTTTGATCATTTTCTGTATTTTTGTTTTTGACAAACTGGGTCAATGATTGGTTCACTACGTGGAGACACTGTCATAGGGTTTCGGGAAAACTAGAACTGGGGACATTATCATAAGTCGTCAAGATCTCGACAATATTTATATTCGAGATCTCGGGAAAATTTACACCGGATATTAATATCTCGAGAACATTAACCCGAATTCTCGAGATATTAACACAGGATGAAACTATCTCAGGAAAATTATCAAGGGATTTCGATAACATTATAATTGGATCTCGAGAAATTGCCAGGCGATTACGGGATTTCGACCAAGTATCACATGATCACTCATGCATGCAACGGACAGGCACAACGGCGTTCTTTGCTTTGATTACAGTTTTACAACTGTAAATAGAAGATTATATTCCTTTCCCTCATTGTCATTATCCCGGCCTGTGCAGAAACATTAAATACCATTTCATTCCCATTCCTTTCCATTGACTCTCTTCGAACGAGAGCGTAAAACTTATAAGCAATGACTATTTGGTATTGTTGATGTAGTCCAAAGCTGAATATCACACGATAAATTCTATGTTATATAAGATTACATTCTAAGAATTTTGTCTGTATACAGATACATCATTTATTTATCAAATTTGGTTTTAAGATAACGATACAAACTGATTGATAACGATACGTTCACCTATTTATTTATATGCACTGTCATTATCAGTAGACTGTATGACCACACCCCTCATCTCCTTTCACTTTTCTTTCATATTTCAAGAAAATTTAACGGCAAAAATTTCTTAGTTTATGATTTCAAAAAGAAAACGTCGAGAGAGGGGGAGAGAGAGGGGGGGGGGTGACGCCAACTCGACACAAACTAGGTCATTTCGGGACATGATTCAATTTTATTTCAATAATTCGCTTGCGCGTAGGGGTTTTTAGCAGTTGGAGGACACCGGAGGACCAGGGGAAAACCAACGAGGTTGGACAGGCGACCCTACTCCTTGTCACAAAAAAACGTGGCATAAGTGTACTAAAAGTAAAATATCAATGTATAACCTTCAGTAATTGTGACAAAATCAGCTAGCCTTCTACGATTAAAAAACAAACCTTTCTTATCTATCCGTTTAGATCTACGTATCATTCTCGCAAAACTGGAATTAAATTTGATATTCTGCACCTTGATTTTAAATAAAATGTCTCTAAAATGTGTGGTATGTCATTAAGTAATCTAACGCAGTAACGGCCATGCAACTCCGTTAATTAATCATCGATCAAAAGTTTTCAGCAATTCTGCAATTCCTTGACATGCGGTAACACCAGGTGGTGATTTCATTACGACACGCTAACTGATCTATTGTTAGCACATATTACAAAACATATCACATAAAGTAAATTAATTACAGAAAATAATGATATTTTAGTTGTTTTTGACGTAAAACCATTCAAGGAATCACAAGAAATCATATAAAAGATTCAAATTTTCTTGGTAAAATCAGCTCTTTACTGACAGCTCAAGGTGTTTGATCTGTTAGTATAGAATATCAAGATCTGTTCTGGTGGTCTGAGATCTTAGAGATCTGAGATGAGAACGTTCACAGTAACTGTCCTTTTATTAGGACTGGTTATACTTGCTTCAATCTTAGGAGGTAAGAAACCTTTCTACTTTGTTTTTGTTATTGTAATGGTTTCTATTACTGCCATGTAGAGGGCTGTATTGTCCGCTGAGTTACACCGACGTTCCCTTGAGTTTCGTTTCGAGACAAGCATCTGGGACCAGCCAGGGTGTACCTTCTCGTAGTTTGGAAGCAACTCAGGTGGTCTTGGGTTCGATTCCGGTGTTGGCCGAGAAAGTTGCTCTGGAATATCCCGGTGTGGATTCCCCTTAGAGGGCCTAGCAGAGCACATTTTCTGGTCTTTCGTATGTTGTGAAAAAAGAGATGCCGAAGACACCTTGGCGGGGTTTGTCCTTTTCAGTGGTACAGGACGGAGAGTTTGGCAAAGGGAGGAATGAAAAACCAAGGCCCTGTGTACAAATTGGCATGTCTTCCCCTTTTCAGCTGTGCAGGACGGGTGTCCAGGCAAAGGTGGGGCGAATTACCGAAGTCCCGTGTACACTTAAAAGACACCTTGACAGGTTGAATTCAAAATAAGAGTTAGTGCCGCCGTCCTCATAGCATACTGCATGGCATATGCCCATCTTCATTAGCCCAGTTGGTGCAGACAAGTAAGACATTAAACCCATGCACTTTATGAAATGGTAATTTCTGTTTGTAGATTTGGGAAGTTCTTATAGTTGATAACGTGACTGTATAATATCGTTTCAATAGTCAGTTGCTACACTCTGTTGCCACCCTATCTTTTCTTTAAATAAATGTGTGAACTATATTATTCATTTTCATGAACCGTCTTTTATTTTATCTTTTCAGATGCCGAAGCGCGTGAGTAAAACCCATTATTTTGCTATAACGGTAGTTTGTCGGATAGTACGATAAACTGTATGTATGATGAGTGTCTGTACAGAGATTATTATCACGTACATTCAACTTCTATTTTAATGAAAAATATGGGGTTATATATTTTTTAAACAAAACCCCCACAAACAGTGGGCTTTATATTTAAATTTTCGAGTTTAATTAATAACTATTTATCTGATATATGCATAAAAAATAAATATATCGCAATTTTATTCTTTCGCAGAAGAACGAAGAAGAGTAAGACGACGACGAAAAGGTAAATAAATTATTTGCCATCATACAGTCTGTATACATGTTGTTGGGAGCCAAGGTGGCCAAGATTTAAGGCGCTGGCTCGCTAACATGGACGAACCGCAGTGGCTCAGTGAGTGAGATGTTGGTGGCTCGCTATTCTGAAGGTCCCTTGATCAGCCCCACCGTTGGCCGAGAAAGTGGTTCGCCTTGTCAGTGGTACAGAAAAGAGGGTCTGGCAAGGGAAAACGTATAGTCGTTTGGAAGGGACAAAAAAACGAAGTCTGTATACATGTTGTTGGGAGCCAAAGTGGCCAAGGTTTAAGGCGCTGGCTCGCTAACTTGGGTGAGCCGCAGTGGCTCAGTGAGTGAGACGTTGGCTCGGTATCCTAGAGGTCACATGATCAGTCCCGTTGTTGGCTGAGAAAGTGGTTCGCCTTGTCAGTGGTACAGAACAGGGGGCCTGGCAAGGGGCAACGTATAGTCGTTTGGAAGGGACCAAAAAACTGAAGTCCAGAGTAGACATTGGCGTGCAGGTAAAAGAACCCTTGCATAACGTTAAATCCCATTTGGTGGCCGAGAAAGATCCTCGAGATTTACGCGCATTTTATCCCGGTATCAGTGGCGTATGGCAAATGGGATGGCCTGGCAACGCACAGCGTCTAGTCATTCGGATGACACGAAAAACGGAGAACCATTGACAGCTGGAATTGGAAATAAGAGTAGTCCGTAGTGCCGTTCTCCTGGCAAAATTTACCGCATAACACACCGCATGACGCTTGTCAGTCTTCATTAATAGTTCGGTCGGAGCAGACAAGTAGGGCGTTCATTTCACACAATTTGATGAAATTTATGGTTCCATTGTAGATGGTAATGTTGGCAATTTTGGTGTTGTAACCCATTTAAAACCATTTTATGAAAATCACTTTATTATTGTACATCCATGACAAGAACGAAACCTATCTAATTCTATTCATTCTGTTTTATTACTTTTCAATAGTTGTCTCATATGAATACGGTAAGAAAATTGTACCCTCAAATAGATTTGAAAAGTCTTATGACTGTCAAACTGTGCCAAAATTGACACCAGATGGACACGCGTTAAAGCAAATGTTCAAATTCGGCTCTGATCGTAAAAACGCGAGGGCATCTTAAGCCATCGTGCTGTGGAGTTTCTCGGGTTCCTCCAGCAACTTCGTGAGCGCTGACAAAAACTTTGGCATGCAAAAAAATTGCCGAAAGACTTTGTTATGGTTCATCATCGTGTTGAATTCGTGTTTCCATTTTGCCCCTCACAAGGTCATCTTGAGGGCATCTTGACAAATCGTGTCATCTTCGTCTTGACTTCGTGTGATCATCTGTGCCAATGGGCATTTTTCTCCCCGCGAAGACAATACAAAGTAAAGAAAAATCTGCCCGATTGTCTTAGGAAGGGAACACGACTAGGCGAAGCCCCCGAAATGCCGCCGTGTAGCCATCGTATGAGAAAAAGGTGTCAGAAAAGACAGCCGAATTTGAGTAAGTGAGTAAGAGCAGAGGCATGTGTAACTCCCAAATTTTCAATCACAATTCAGTTCCTGCAGCCATTGTGTGGCCTTTGTGTGTCCTGTGGGTATAAACTACTATTAAAATTTTCGTCTTCGTGTTACCTTCGTGTGTGGTTCGGGTGCATTCGCGTGACCTTTTGTATGCATCGTACTTGCTTCGGTTTTTGATTGGTCGTTTGTCAAGTTAGGGGCCATCTTTGCGCGAATTTCAAAATTTCATATGGCCACCTGGTGTTAATTTTGGGACATTGTGACGCCACCATAACAAAGGACAGAAGGATCCCTCCCAAACCCACAGGCTTACAACAGGGTCTGTGTAGGTTTATGTTATAATAGGCAATATATCTTTTATGGGTTTATATTATAAAAGGCAACATGGTTTTTTTATGGTTTTATATTCTAATAGGCAACAAGTCGAATAGGCAACTACTCTGTTATGAGTTTATATTAAAAAAGGCAGCAGGTTTTTGGGGTGGGGTGGGGGATTTTTATTGTATTATAACAGGCAACAGGTATTTTATGGGTGTATAATTTCATACTTGGCAACTGTTTCTACTTTCTTGCTGAACTTATATTAAAGATACATTATGGGAGATTTTTTTTATAGAGAGTTGGCCATTCTTGCTGTAACAGTTCAAAAGTAGATGATGAAAGAAGAATATATTGAAAAATTCAGTCAAATTACTTTATTCTGAACATAGTTATCATCGTTGTAATATTTGCCTAGAAATGGTAGCGAAATGTGTCTTCACCTTCGCCGGTCGTTTGATTGACAGGCGTTAACTCCACCTACATATCTCGATTATCAAGTAAAGTTTTCAATGGCATACGGAAACGCTTTACAGCGGCCTCGCTAAATACACTCTATCATTTAGCCTCGATCTAACAGACGTATTTTCATCAGGTTACCCCTTATCTGATTTAATCAATTAGTGAAATCCTATTTAAATCCGAGCTGTAGCCGAGCCATCCGTGGGTCAACAGAGTTGATTTTGGTCTTGTTGTTTAAATAAAGATCTAATTTATAATTTCTATAATAATCAGATTTAGCTCTTGCATAATGCATGTTTAAGCAGGCAACTAATAGTCTTATTAAAGAATGGGCATGCGTGCGTCTTGTATAATAGTTTTAATACATCACAATATAATCATGAAAATTGACTTCGGTTTAAATCTGGTCTTTATTTAGGATGATATTATAATACACCATCTTGCTATCCTGTTAAAAACAACATAGTATTGTTGAAGACTATAATTTAAAACCAGGTTTTGGATGCAGACAAGCATGATTATAACACGGCATACTCAAATTCAACTAAATCAATATTTCTTCTGTATATTAAACATAGTTCTGTATATTAAATATTATTTTGTATATTTGTTTCCTTTTTTGAGTAGAAGATGATGGAAGCTCCAGTGGTATGTTTTTTTGTTTTTTTTATTCTTTAAAATTAAACTTGCAAATATTCTACTCGCGTAAAATATCTAAGTCATTTTGCTTTAACCTTGATTTTGACGAAAATCAAATTTAATTTGTGTACGGATTTGACTAATATTTTCTTTTTAAAGCAAGCAGTAGTAGCAGTAGCAGCCGAAGTAGTAGCAGTGGCAGTAGCAGCAGATCCTCTTCTTCAGGTAATCAATCAATCAGTTCGTATTACTTGAATGTTTCGTCCAAGACCAAACTAATATTGTGGGTAGATTACACAAAGCCTTTTGATCTCACAGACGTTATCACAGGCGCCATGGTGGTACAAATTACCCATTGCTCCATTTTAAGACAGGCTCCGTGTTGATGCTTACTACTCGCAGCTTGATGTTAAGCCAGGTGATATGATGGCACCTACTACTCATAGCTCCACTTTAAGACAAGCGCATTGATGGTACCTACTACTCAAAGATCCAATTTAAGACAGGTGTCATGATGGTACCTACTACTCAAAGCTCCCGTTTAAGACAGGGTCATGATGGCACCCAGTACTCATATTTTATTGTCCTGGATGTATTCTTTTTGTTTTGTTGAATTGTTTCTGGTACTGTATATTATTAGGTCATTTTAGACCTTCGTATAATTTCCATTTACTCTCGTTATGAGTACAATAAGCAGTAGGGGTGGGTTTGAGGGGATGGCCTTGCTTGAATAGATTTGTCTACGAATAATTTTCATTGAAATACTCGATGAACGTCGGTAATTCATAACGTCTGGTGGAAAACAACCTACACATATAGGGCGAGTTCCATGTACATAACTTTTATTTTGATCGATGTATAAAAAAAGTATTGCACGGTAACACTTTTTTAAAATTATAGATGGGTCATCGTCAAGCAGAGGACGACGAGGTGGGAAAGGACGAAAAGCAAGGAGAGGAAGGAAAGGGCGACGAGGCAGGAAAGGGCAAAAGGGCAGACGAGGCCGAAAAGCACAAAAAGGTCGAAAAAGCAGAAAAGGACGACGAAGCAGAAAAGGAAGAAGAGGCCGTAAAGCAAGACGGGGTAGGAAAGGTCGAAAGGGCAGAAAAGGGCGACGAAGCAGAAAAGGTAGAAAAGGCCGTAAAGCAAGACGGGGTAGGAAAGGAAGAAAGGGACGACGAGGTAGGAAAGGACGAAAAGCAAGGCGAGGAAGCAAAGTCCGGCGAGGTAGGAAAGGGCGAAAAGGGAGGAGAGGCCGAAGAGGGAGAAAAGGAACAAAGGGTCGACGAGGTAGGAAAGGAAGAAAAGCGAGAAAAGGCAGAAAAGGTCGACGAGGCAGGAAAGGTCGAAAAGCGAGGAAAGGTCGAAAAGGCAGGAAAGGGCGAAAAGCCAGAAAAGGTCGGAAAGGGAGGAGATACCGAAGAACCAGAAAAGGTAGAAAGAGTCGACGGGGTAGGAAAGGAAGAAAAGGACGACAAGGTAGGAAAGGGCGAAAATAATGGATTCCATTGTTTTCACAAAAATCTTATTCTTACATTCCTATACCTTACATATTTAACCTATTTTCAACCGACCCGTTTAATTCCTCTAGTATATTTTATAGCCAAGTTGTAAATCAGATTATAACAGTATTCCTTGTTAAAATTGTTTATTGTTTGTTATTGTAAACAGCTAGTCGAGGAGGTAGAAGACGAGTAAGAAAAGGTAATATTTTTTGAAATATTAGTGATGTATTGATCACTATTTTTCCGAGATCGACCCATAATAAAATTTGTAAAGAGAGAGAGAGAGAGAGAGAGAGAGAGAGAGAGAGAGAGAGAGATGGGGTTAACGTCCACTCAACACAAACTATGTCATTTCGGGACTAACATATGGTTCGATTTTATTTCAATAATTCGCTTGCGCATAGGGGTCTTTAGTAGTGGGAGGAAACCGGTGGACCCGGAGAAAACCCACGAGGTTGGACAGGCGACCCTACGCCTTGTCACGTACAACCGGGCAATCGAAACCCCGCCAGTTGACCCAGTGACAGACTTTATGATACAGCGCGCACGTGCTAACCATTCAGCTATCCAACTCTTCAAAATTTGTAAAGTGAGAAGGTCGAAACATATTGGTTGTGATTTTGGCACATGGTCTATATGTACTTTTCTGGCGACAAAGTAAGCCAAAATTTGAAATGAAATTATTTTGAAATAAGAATTAAATCGTATGCAGCTTTCAACACAATTTAATACTTTATATTGACGTAAATCAAAGACGTTTAACACCTTTAAAATTCAATTTGTGAATTTTTATATTTTTAACAGAAAGTTGGGAATATGACTGGGAATACGTCGATGGCAAAAAAGTTAAACGACGACGAGGTGGAAGGAAAGGACGAAGAGCTCGTAAAGGTCGAAAAGGCAGACAGACCAGAAAAGGACGAAAGGGCAGACGTGGCCGTAAATCACAAAGAGGTCGAAAGGGCAGAAAAGGACGAAAGGCAAGACGAGGCAGGAAAGGTAGAGGAAGTAGAGGACGACGAGCTAGGAGAGGACGAAAGGGTCGAAGAGGCAGGAAAGGAAGAAAAGGTCGTAAAGCAAGACGAGGTAGGAAAGGAAGAAAGGGACGACGAGGTAGGAAAGGAAGAAAAGCAAGGAGAGGACGAAAGGGTCGACGAGGCAAGAAAGGAAGAAAAGGTCGTAAAGCAAGACGAGGAAGGAAAGGAAGAAAGGGACGACGAGGTGGGAAAGGACGAAAAGCAAGGCGAGGACGAAAGGGTCGAAAAGGCAGCAAAGGAAGAAAAGGTGAGTGAATATGGGATTTCACTGTTTTATTTTTACATTCCTACATCTTACGTATTTAACCCGTTTTCAAAAGAACCGTTTAATTCCCTTAGTGTTTTATAGCCAAGTTGTAAATCAGGGGCCTGTTTCGCGAAATTTTAACTAAGATAAAATCCAAATTTTAGTAATTTTATTGGATAATATTAGATTGACTTTAGTGCTTAACCAATCAAAATTGAAGTATCTACTAGAATTTGGATTTTATCTTTAGCTAAGATTTCGAGAAACAGGGTCCAGATTCTGACAGTATTTCTTGTTGAAATTTTCATTGTGTGTTGTTTTAATTTTAAACAGCTAGCCGAGGAGGTAGAAGACGAGTAAGAAAAGGTAATGTTTTACTAAGATCGACCCATAATAAAATTTTCAAACCCAGAAGGTCAAAACAAATTGGTTGTGATTGTATCACATGGTCTATATGTACTCCAAAATTTGAAATGAAATTATTTTGAAATTAAAATTAAATCGTATGCAGCTTTCAACACAATTTAATACTTTATATTGGCGTAAATCAAAGACGTTTAACGCCTTTAAAATTCAATTTGTGAATTTTTATGTTTTTAACAGAAAGATGGGAATATGACTGGGAATACGTCGATGGCAAAAAAGTTAAACGACGACGAGGTGGAAGGAAAGGACGAAAGGGTCGAAGAGGCAGGAAAGGAAGAAAAGGTCGTAAAGCAAGACGAGGTAGGAAAGGAAGAAAGGGACGACGAGGTGGGAAAGGAAGAAAAGCAAGGAGAGGACGAAAGGGTCGACGAGGCAAGAAAGGAAGAAAAGGTCGTAAAGCAAGACGAGGAAGGAAAGGAAGAAAGGGACGACGAGGTGGGAAAGGACGAAAAGCAAGGCGAGGACGAAAGGGTCGAAAAGGCGGCAAAGGAAGAAAAAGTGAGTGAATATGGGATTTCACTGTTTAATTTTTACATTCCTACATCTTACGTATTTAACCCGTTTTCAAAAGAACCGTTTAATTCCCTTAGTGTTTTATAGCCAAGTTGTAAATCAGGGGCCTGTTTCGCGAAATTTTAACTAAGATAAAATCCAAATTTTAGTAATTTTATTGGATAATATTAGATTGACTTTAGTGCTTAACCAATCAAAATTGAAGTATCTACTAAAATTTGGATTTTATCTTTAGTTAAGATTTCGAGAAACAGGGCCCAGATTCTGACAGTATTTCTTGTTGAAATTTTCATTGTGTGTTGTTTTAATTTTAAACAGCTAGCCGAGGAGGTAGAAGACGAGTAAGAAAAGGTAATGTTTTACTAAGATCGACCCATAATAAAATTTTCAAACCCAGAAGGTCAAAACAAATTGGTTGTGATTGTATCACATGGTCTATATGTACTCCAAAATTTGAAATGAAATTATTTTGAAATAAAAATTAAATCGTATGCAGCTTTCAACACAATTTAATACTTTATATTGATGTAAATCAAAGAAGTTTAACGCCTTTAAAATTCAATTTGTGAATTTTTATGTTTTTAACAGAAAGATGGGAATATGACTGGGAATACGTCGATGGCAAAAAAGTTAAACGACGACGAGGTGGAAGGAAAGGACGAAAGGGTCGAAGAGGCAGGAAAGGAAGAAAAGGTCGTAAAGCAAGACGAGGTAGGAAAGGAAGAAAGGGACGACGAGGTGGGAAAGGAAGAAAAGCAAGGAGAGGACGAAAGGGTCGACGAGGCAAGAAAGGAAGAAAAGGTCGTAAAGCAAGACGAGGAAGGAAAGGAAGAAAGGGACGACGAGGTGGGAAAGGACGAAAAGCAAGGCGAGGACGAAAGGGTCGAAAAGGCGGCAAAGGAAGAAAAGGTGAGTGAATATGAGATTTCACTGTTTAATTTTTACATTCCTACATCTTACGTATTTAACCCGTTTTCAAAAGAACCGTTTAATCCCCTTAGTGTTTTATAGCCAAGTTGTAAATCAGGGGCCTGTTTCACGAAATTTTAACTAAGATAAAATCCAAATTTTAGTAATTTTATTGGATAATATTAGATTGACTTTAGTGCTTAACCAATCAAAATTGAAGTATCTACTAAAATTTGGATTTTATCTTTAGTTAAGATTTCGAGAAACAGGGCCCAGATTCTGACAGTATTTCTTGTTGAAATTTTCATTGTGTGTTGTTTTAATTTTAAACAGCTAGCCGAGGAGGTAGAAGACGAGTAAGAAAAGGTAATGTTTTACTAAGATCGACCCATAATAAAATTTTCAAACCCAGAAGGTCAAAACAAATTGGTTGTGATTGTATCACATGGTATGTACTCCAAAATTTGAAATGAAATTATTTTGAAATAAAAATTAAATCGTATGCAGCTTTCAACACAATTTAATACTTTATATTGATGTAAATCAAAGAAGTTTATCGCCTTTAAAATTCAATTTGTGAATTTTTATGTTTTTAACAGAAAGATGGGAATATGACTGGGAATACGTCGATGGCAAAAAAGTTAAACGACGACGAGGTGGAAGGAAAGGACGAAAGGGTCGAAGAGGCAGGAAAGGAAGAAAAGGTCGTAAAGCAAGACGAGGTAGGAAAGGAAGAAAGGGACGACGAGGTGGGAAAGGAAGAAAAGCAAGGAGAGGACGAAAGGGTCGACGAGGCAAGAAAGGAAGAAAAGGTCGTAAAGCAAGACGAGGAAGGAAAGGAAGAAAGGGACGACGAGGTGGGAAAGGACGAAAAGCAAGGCGAGGACGAAAGGGTCGAAAAGGCGTCAAAACAAATTGGTTGTGATTGTATCACATGGTCTATATGTACTCCAAAATTTGAAATGAAATTATTTTGAAATTAAAATTAAATCGTATGCAGCTTTCAACACAATTTAATACTTTATATTGGCGTAAATCAAAGACGTTTAACACCTTTAAAATTTTTATATTTTTAACAGAAAGATGGGAATATGACTGGGAATACGTCGATGGTAAAAAAGTTAAACGACGACGAGGTGGAAGGAAAGGACGAAGAGCTCGTAAAGGTCGAAAAGGCAGACAGACCAGAAAAGGACGAACGGGCAGACGAGGCCGTAAAGCACGAAGAGGTCGAAAGGGCAGAAAAGGACGAAAGACAAGACGAGGCAGGAAAGTTAAACGAGACAGGAAAGGTAGAAGAGGCCGTAAAGCAAGACGAGGTAGGAAAGGAAGAAGAGGACGACGAGCTAGGAGAGGACGAAAGGGTCAAAGAGGCAGGAAAGGAAGAAAGGGTCGTAAAGCAAGACGAGGTAGGAAAGGAAGAAAGGGACGACGAGGTGGGAAAGGACGAAAAGCAAGGAGAGGACGAAAGGGTCGAAGGGGCAAGAAGGGAAGAAAAGGTCGTAAAGCAAGACGAGGTAGGAAAGGAAGAAAGGGACGACGAGGTGGGAAAGGACGAAAAGCAAGGAGAGGGCGAAAGGGTCGAAGAGGCAGGAAAGGAAGAAAAGGTCGTAAAGCAAGACGAGGTAGGAAAGGAAGAAAAGGACGACGAGGTGGGAAAGGACGAAAAGCAAGGAAAGGAAGAAAGGGTCGAAGAGGCAGGAAAGGTAGACGAGGTCGAAAACCAAGACGAGGTAGGAAAGGAAGAAGAGGTCGAAAAGCAAGACGAGGCAGGAAAGGTAGACGAGGTCGAAAAGCAAAACGGGGTAGGAAAGGTAGACGAGGTCGAAAAGGTAGGAGAGGTCGAAAAGCAAGACGAGGTCGAAAAACAAGACGAGGTAGGAAAGGTAGACGAGGTCGAAAACCAAGACGAGGCAGGAAAGGTAGACGAGGTCGAAAAGCAAAACGGGGTAGGAATGGTAAACGAGGTCGAAAAGGTAGGACAGGTCGAAAAGCAAGACGAGGTCGAAAAACAAGACGAGGTAGGAAAGGTAGACGAGGTCGAAAACCAAGACGAGGTAGGAAAGGAAGAAGAGGTCGAAAAGCAAGACGAGACAGGAAAGGTAGACGAGGTCGAAAAGCAAAACGGGGTAGGAAAGGTAGACGAGCCAGGAAAGGTACACGAGGTCGAAAAGCAAAACGAGGCAGGAAAGGTAGAAGAGGTCGAAAAGCGAGACGAGGCAGGAAAGGCCGAAAAGCAAGAGGAGGCAGGAAAGGTAGACGAAGTCGAAAAGTTGGACGCGGCAGGAAAGGACGACAAGCAAGGAAAGGACGACGGGGCAGCAAAAGGCGAAAAGCAAGAAAGGGAAGAAAAGGTAGAAGAGGCAGGAAAGCAAGGAAAGGAAGAAAGGCAAGACGAAGAAGGAAAGGTCGAAAAGCAAGAGGAGGCAGGAAAGGTAGACGAGGTCGAAAAGCAAGACGAGGTAGGAAAGGAAGAAGGGGTCGAAAAGCAAGACGAGGCCGGAAAGGTAGACGAAGTCGAAAAGTTGGACGCGGCAGGAAAGGACGACAAGCAAGGAAAGGACGACGGGGCAGCAAAAGGCGAAAAGCAAGAAAGGGAAGAAAAGGTAGAAGAGGCAGGAAAGCAAGGAAAGGAAGAAAGACAAGGCGAGGAAGGAAAGGTCGAAAAGCAAGAGGAGGCAGGAAGCGTAGACGAGGTCAAAAAGGTAGGAAAGGTAGAGAAAGTCAAAGAACACGCAGGAAAGGTAGACGAGGTCGCAGACCTAGACGAGGCAGGAAAGGCAGACGAGGTCGAAGACCAAGACGAGATGGAAACGGTAGACCAAGACGAGGCAAGAAAGGTAGACGAGGTCGAAGACCAAGACGAGATGGAAAAGGTAGACGAGATCGAAGACCAAGAAGCGGTGGAAAAGATAGACGAAGTCGAAAAGCAAGACGAGGCGGGAAAAGAGGAAGAGGCCGGAAAGGTAGACGAGGTCGAAAAGCAAGGCGAGTCAGAAAAGATAGACGAGGTAGAAGAGGTCGAAAATCAAGACGAGGTAAGGAAGGTAGAAGAGGTCGACAAGCCAAGGGAGACAGGAGAGGAAAAAATACAAGGCGAACCAGAAAAGCAAGACGAGTTAGGAAAGGACGAAAACGTAAGTACAAAAAGACAGTTATAACTAATAGTAGTGAAACCAAAAAAGAGAGTAAGAAACGGGGTTAACACCCACTCAACACAATCCAGGTAACTTCAAGACTAACATATGGTACAAGTTTATTTCAATAATTCGGCTTGGGGTCGAAGCCACGTCACTTGACCCAGTAATAGATCGTATCTAAACCGCACGCGGTAGACCCCTCGAACCACCTCACCAGTAACGCCAACGAATAATAATTTAAGATGTAAAACATACATATTTATATCCCCTTGAATGGAATTTTCATATAACAGTTATTGATAAAGCATGAATCATTCTGTTTGCAGCTATATAGTTCTTTTATTTATTATTAACAATGATAATAAAATAATTAATTTCCCTCTCACTTTCCAGCATCTCCGAGACCTGTTATCCTCCCTGCTATTTCTAAACCTAATAGAAACACTCAAGGTATGTTTGTCAGTAAATACTGAGCGGTGATGCAAAACGAAAAGAAAACCAATGAGCAAAAGAGTTTGTTGTGACATTTTAAGCCCCTAAACGTGCACTGACATCAAATCTATATAAGTCATTTACGTGATAGATTTTATTCCAAAATTAGGGGTAAGCTCTAGGGAGAGATTGTTTGTTCTCTGTCGGAATTTACAAGTAATTTAATGGTGATATTCATTTGTAGTTGATATAGTATTTAATGATGAAATCGACAATTAATGATGATTGAGTTATTACCATTATGGATGCCAGAAAATGGCGATTTGAAAAGTGTTATGTCTGGTAGTAAAGCCAGTGTTGATTAGTAATATAAACGTCTATTGAGTAATTGTTTTGTTTATTTGTAGAACCTCAAAGAACCCCCAAATCCCGTAAACCCGCAGGTATTGTTAATATTATTATCATCATTACTATTCAGTATATTTGTCATTATCTTGAAGCTCATTATCTGATCAGGTAAGGAGGAGTTGTCTTCCGTTAATTATATCACGACTATGACTTATAAAATCGCACACAATATTTGGGAATTTAATTTTGAAAATTTTTTCTGATTAAGTTCCATTTTTGAGCTATATTATTTCAATCCAAAGACCTGGTTTCAGATATGCAAATTCCGTAGAAATTTAAAACTAATTTTGACTATTTAATTATTGATAGTCGTATGTAATTCATGTGCTTAACCTATAATATTAATATTTTGGAATTTAATTTTGACAATTTTGTCTGATTAAGTACTACTTTTGAGCTATATAAAATGAAATGAAAAGCGGTTTAACGTCCTACTGTTCTGCTCCTATACTGGGCTAATGAAAACGGTTGAGCTATATAATTTCAACCCAAAGACCTAGTTTCAGATATACAATTTCCGTAGAAATTTAACTAATTTTGACTATTTAATTATTGATAGCCGTGTGTAATTCATGTGCTTAACCTATAATAATGTACTTCTAACAGGTAGAAGAAATCGCCGACGAAACCGACGTATTCGAAACCGACGTATTCGAAGACGACGTCGACCAACACAATATCGACCTGGATATCATCCACCACGAAGATACAGGAAACGACGTAAGTATTTAAAGTAAAATCATACCATAGGTATATCTGTTCGCGTGCGGAAATGAAACGTGTTACGTATTTGCAGTCTTTAAATTTTCGACTCGACATTTCCATTTACGTTCCCCGGAAGTCATACATCTGCCTCCAATTCCCAATATTCCTAATGCTATAAAATATACCTGTAGATGGTGCAAGATTTGACGTAAAGGTGCAACATTGCGGGAAGACTTGTATTAGTCTACAATTTATTTTAAAAATAAAATTGCCATAATGTATTTTCTAATAATTTACAATGTAACACCGAATACTATTTATATCTTCAGGATACATGAGACCTGATTATGATGATGTTGAATATGGTAAGCACAAAATTATTATAATACCCGTCTCAAAACACTGCCTCACCCAACCACACCTTTGTATAATTGATGGGATCTACTGAACTTTTAAAATTTAATTGCATATGTGGTGAGAATGGGGCATCATATAGATTACAGACCTTATGGTCTCAACATAAGCATATCAATTTACACGATGTTTTGATTTTTAGTCCTTTCAAACCAAAATGAAATGAAATGAAATGGGGTTTAACGTTCTACTGTTCTGCTCCTATACTGGGCTAATGAAGACGGGCATACGCCATACAGTGTGCTATGAGGGTAATTTTGCCCGGGCAGCGGCGCTACGGCCTACTCTTATATCGAATTCAAACTGCCAATGGATCTTTTACGTGCATTAAAAATGTATACACGGGACCTCGGTTTTTTGTCTCATCCGAAGGACTAGACAGCTGTCATTGTCAGGCCCTCCGTCCTGCATCCTTTCAAACCAACAGCTAAGCTTCGTTGTTTAAAACTAAAAACTCTCTTTTATTTTATTACAGAAACAGGTTACGATTACGGTCGACCTTATTACCGAGGTTACCGAGACAGCCACCGTGATGACGACAGCGATAAATTAATCTTTGATCTCAAGAATAACTTGAATCTCTGTGCATAAAGATACTGAAACTTTGATCGATACCAGATTTTGGAAACGATTTTTAGAAAGTATTTAATTTTATTGTACATAGCCTATTATTTAAATACAAGATACGCCTACAATATTGTATGGCCACGATGATAGGTTAAAACATTGTATTAAGACAACAATGAATGTATATATATATAATGACTTATTAAAACTGTTGCAAATTATTTATTGTGTGTTAGTCCTGAAAAATCAAATCATACACTTTTGCCAACAACAGAATGAAATGATATCGGTTTTAACGTCCTACTTTTCTGTATCGATTGGGCTAATCATGGGGTATAATTAAAAAACGAATAGTCAAAATTGTCCAGGCTAGATAATATTAGTACGGACAGTTGCTGCAATAGATATGCCGACCATTGTTATTATCATAATAAGATCGCGTTTGATATCAAAATATACGTTTTTGGGGTAGCCAAATATAATTATTTCCAATTATTTAAATTGGTGATACCACTGGGTCAATATTGGGGGAATCATTCGGGATGGTAAATATTTTGGTGATTAACTGGTTCCCATGTGTCAATATAGGCGGAAATCCAATTAGGGATTTAGGGGTTCGATTGGGAATGAATGAATGAAATGGGGTTAACGTCCTACTGTTCTGCTCCGAACTGGGCAAATGAAGACGGGCATACGCCATACAGTGTGCGATGTCGGATATTTTGCCCGGACAGCGGCACTATACCTACTCTTATATCGAATTCCAACTATCACGGGGTCGTTTACATGCATGCCAATGTGTACACGGGACCTCGGTTTTTTCGTACGATCTTAACGACTTGACAGCTGTCCTTGTCTGGCCCCCCGTCCTGCATCACTGACAAGGGGGAACCACGCCGGAAAATCTGGATGAACTTTCTCGGCTAATGCAGGGATCGAAACCCGACCTCTAGAGTGAGCTAGCGTCTTACCTACTTAGCTTAGCCACCGTGACTCCCCGAGCTACGACGGGTACAAAAACTATGACCAAATTGGCATTACTAGACAATAATACTTTAAATTTCAAAATCAAAATCCCGATGCCCTTCGCCGATGTATTCTTAGATTCGATAAACTTATATACACTGCATGATCTTACTAAATGACTTACCCCATCTTTCTTTGTTATTCCTCGTGAAAGTCCTAAGCAGTGGCTGCAGAGGCAATGGTCTTGAGTATCAGAACGCCTTTGTTTAGTCCAAATAGTTCACGTCTTGGCGATCTAGCTTGATGATATCTGCCTGTGAGTAATGAAAGAAAATGACATGACCTATACACTTTGTTATTCTGCCAGGCTTTAACATTGAAATAGAGTGGGCCAAATCTCTACAGGCTATGACCTTGATTAATGTGACTACACCAGACGAAAATATCTGATGATTTTCAACGAGATCGATAATCATGGATATTTAACAACTTTAAAAAAATCAGTGCAGAAGCCTATGTCAAATAAAGGGCCGTATTACAGGAAGGACTGACTGGTCTGCAGTCATTGGTCCCAATATTAAATAGGAACCGACATTAATTCTAAAATTGTTATTATACTATATTATATTATGTTGTGTTTTATTATGTTTGTGCCAAATATATAAATCTACCATACTGACATACAAATTGCATTTGTCTGAGCGTGGCCAGAATATGCCTCCCTTTCGCTGCTTGGCCCCAGTGACATTTTCAACAAGGAGCAACCATGCAAGCTTAATCCGGGCCTCCACAGACGTCTACTCAGGGACCCGTGGCTAGTCCTTTTCATTTTCTAAGAGTTTTGATTTTATAATTCATGGATATGGAACTGGGCAAAGATGTTACTTCATATATTTTGCATATCTTTCTATCTCACCCCTGTAAAACCGATAGTCACGATAAACAATGATGCTCGTTACTTTAAATACAACTGTAAATAGAATATTGCTTTTCCTTTCTATCTTAAACTTGTGTTGCTGTAGTCCAAAGGTGGACATTACAGAAATAATATATAAGATTACTTTCTAAGAATTTCGTCCTTATACAGATACATCATTTATTTATCAAATTTAGTTTTACGATAAGGATAATGTTCCCCTATTTACTGATGAAACAAAATTTAACAGTGGATGAAACAAAAAATTCTCTATTTAAGATTTTTTTTTTGAAAAAAAAATGAAATGGGGTTTAGCTTCCTATTTTTCTGAACAGACGCCATACAGTTGGTTGAGAGGAAAACTTTTCCCGGGCAGCGGCGCTACGACCTCTCAGGCGTTCTTTTACGTGCTCATGGAACCTACTCACCAGGCCCTCCGTCCTACACCACGCCTGAAAATCCCGTGGCGCCCATTTTAAAGAAAACAGAAAACGTGGAATAAGTGTAATAAACCGTAATCTAACCTTTTGCGCTGGGTTAAAATCAACTAACCCAATGTGTTGTTTGTCAATAAGAAATCTGACTTAGTAAAGTCCACAAATTACAAGAATAAATTAATTATCGATCTAAATGTCAGCATTATTTGGACATTCCTTAATGTCACTAACAACTGTCCAGGTGGTGATTTCATTACGACACGCTAACTGAGCTATTGTTCGGCTAAATTTAAAAAAGCATCACATAAAGCAAATTAATTACAGAAAATAATGATATTTTTGTTGTTTTTGACGTAAAACCATTCAAGGAATCACAAGAAATCATATAAAAGACTCAAATTTTCTTGATAAAATCAGCTCTTTACTGACAGCTCAAGGTGTTTGATCTGTTAGTATAGAATATCAAGATCTGTTCTGGTGGTCTGAGATCTTAGAGATCTGAGATGAGAACGTTCACAGTAACCGTCCTTTTATTAGGACTGGTTATACTTGCTTCAATCTTGGAAGGTAAAAAATCGTTCTACTTTGTTTTTATAATGTTAAAAATGCATTTTGCAAGATTTAGATACATAGTTGGACGTTATTGCTATATAAGAAAAAATGGATAATGACAAACGAATATATTTCAGTCATCTTCCTTTATTCAGAAATGAATGTCTGAAATTGTGACAAGACATAGTGTAATGTACCATTGCTGCGATACTAACATTTGTTTAATCCATTCAATATCTCAACCATCCGATTATCTAGCGAGTTGATAATGGGTTTGCTAAAGAGAATACATGATAATTTATATAACTTGTTGTAATACTCGGTTATCGCACCATTACTATTTTAATAATTCTTTCATTTTGTTTTTTTTTTCAGATACCGAAGCTCGTGAGTAAACCAATTTATTTTGATATAAATTTATATCATTGATAGTCACCATCTCCTTTAAAATTAATGACACATTAATTGTTAAACATATTTTTAAAAATCCACAGTGGTTTTTCATATTTAAATTTTCGCTATTAATGAAAAAATAATATCTATCTGATACACATGTATACAAATAAAAATATCTTAATTTTTCTTCTTTCACAGAACAACGAAGAAGAGTAAGACGACGACGAAAAGGTAAATAAATTATTTTCTATTTCATAGTCTTTATACATTTTGGTAAAACTAATATATCTAAAACAGTTTTTCTTGAAATAAGACCATCTGTGTAAACGGATATCTTGAAGGGAAAAAAGTTATTATAATTCGAATTTACAAAGGACGCTCCAGAAAAAAAGCGGCACAGTGACATGTGTCTAACTAATCATCTATCTCTTTTTTATTATTTTTTTTTTAAATAGTTGTCTCATACGAATACGGTAAGAAAATAGTATACTTAACTAGATTCGACCGAATTGTGATGGGCGAGTGCCACGCTAAAGGGCGAATATTAGGCAACTAGTCTTTTATTCGTGACACGACGTAGCGGATGAAATGATATGAAGTGTGGGGTTAACGTCATACTAAACTTGTCTGTGTCGGCTAGACTTAGACTAATGAAGACGGGCATACCTCATAGAGTGTATAAGGGTAATTTTGCACGGACAGCGGCGCTAAGGCACACTCTTAATTCGAATTCCAACTGCCACACGGTTCTTTTACTTGCATGCCAATGTGTACACTGGGCTTAGGTTTTTCGGTCCACCCGAACAACTTAACGCCGACAATGCCAGGCCAGCTGTCTGGCGCCACTACAAAGGGGAAACAACGAGAACCTGAAACCCTTATGTTTAACGAACCGGCGTGTTACGAACTGAGCTACACCGGCTCCCTATTAAAGAATGGGTATGCATATAGTATAATATAGTAAGAACGCTGAAAAGTTGAAGAAAGACAAGAAAATTGATTTCTCTTTTTATCTGGTCTTTAGTTGAGTTGATATCTTGATATACGGTTAGAAAGTAACATGGTATTATTGAAGACTATAATTTAAAACCAGATTTGTCTTAATTTGAGAAAATCTGTGGAATCCCAATGGATGCAGACGAACGAGCATGACTATAATACAGCATAATTATTCAAATCCAACTAAATCAACATTTCTTCTGTATATTAAACATAGTTCTGTATATTAAATATTATTTTGTATATTTGTTTCCTTTATTTAGTAGAAGATGGAGGAAGCTCCAGTGGTATGTTTTGTTATTTTTCTTATTCTTTAAAATTCCACTTGCATTTTTTTCCTTTTTTGAGTAGTTGATGGAGGAAGCTCCAGTGGTATGTTTTGTTATTTTTCTTATTCTTTAAAATTCCACTTGCAAATATTCTACTCGTGTAAAATATGTAACTTATTTTCCTTTAACCTCAATTTTGGCGAAAATCAAATATAATTTGTGTATAGATTTGCCTAATATTTTCTTTTTAAAGCAAGCAGTAGTAGCAGTAGCAGTCGAAGTAGTAGTAGTGGCAGTAGCAGCAGCTCCTCTTCTTCAGGTAATCAATCAGTTCGTATTTCTTGAATATTTCGTCCAAGAGTAAACTAATAATGCGGGTCCCGGTATTACGTTATGGCAAGTGTCATGGTGGTACCTACTACTCATAGCTCCACTTTATGACAGCCGCCATGCTCATGCACTAGGGAAATTAGGTT